TGATACGAAGTTCTGAGTATTCTTCCAATTCTTTAAGGTTGTCTCTTCTTGGAGGTTTTCTCACGTCAAATGCAAGCCAACATTTATTGAAATGTTTATAGCAATGTCAAAAACGATGGTAAGCAGCAGAAGCTGCGTTGCTCTTCCCAACATAATGAAATTTTCGCCTCAATAATCTCCATAAATCCTTATTAATATTCTGCACCGCTTTACTACATCATATATGTGTCTAGTTTATTTCTACAATATTGCATTTCAATGCTAAATATGTATGAGTCACGAATGGTCACATAAAATGTTGCCCCATTATAATTTTATATCTTCTGACCAACGTCGTTCAACGCGTAAAAATCATTTGCTTCTCTTCACACAAGTTACTTGAACACTTAAATGAATCGAATAAAGTGGTAACATATTCATAATATTGATCTATAATTTCTGATCTCATGTATTACGACACTTTAAACACACACAAAGAAACTTACCAGTTCATCTATCATAATTAATAAAAAAAGCTATAGCTGATAGGAGACATTTGGCAATGTAGTAAAAAAAAATTTAATAAATTGTTATTCAGATAATATCGCCATTGGCGCCGCATAAACGCTTGGCAGACTTCAATAAAAAAATATAACAAAGTGTGCGTAGCGTCTATCTGGCGTTTGGCTCAAACGCTGCCCCGATAAGCAAGTTAAATTGTAGACAATGTGGAGACACACTTGGCAGTTTCTGCTTTTGAACAATGTCCAACTGTCCAGAGTTCTTATTGCGTTCATTTGAGTGCTTTTTCACATATACATGTACATATCTAAGCAATTAATTGGTGAAGAGCATACGTTACATTATAATATTGCACTGTGAAATGTTTTATTATTTTCGCTGTAAAATTGTTGCGCGAAATTCATTAAAGAAAAACAGCTTAAATTCGCTGAACTCAAAGTAATTGATGCTATAATTTTTGCTAATTTTTTATTGCAAAAAAATTTACGAATTATAGTACAAGTTTCCGTGATGTTTCTCTCTTTCTCTCTGCGCCAAAATTTAATCGGTTTTTTGAACAACTTTCTTATGTAGAGAAGATGTGTGTCAGACGTTTTCTCTCCATTAAAAATATCAAGCAATCCTCTTGCGTGACTCGCCCTTAGAATCTAAGCTTAGCTTGGTATACCAAAACTATATAAAGTATCAAAAATTAAACCGGAAGTTTACTACTCAGAGCTATGAAAATAAAACTATGCTAGAAGTATAATTAACCTATAGAAAGAACAGAAAATAGTGCTTGATTACCAGAAAATTAATAATTATTATAAAATAAATACAATAATTTGCGATAGAATTTTCCGAATAGCAAACTGTGTTAAGGCCATGCAGTCTTAAAATTACTTTGAATTGTTCGTACTTTCTCTAGTTAATATATATGAAACATAAGCAAATTGTAAGAAAGAAGAATGTTTCGCTTTGGAGAAAAATCTATTAAGTAGATGAAACGTATTGTCACATTACTGGTGAAAGTTTTGAATTTTGTTAACTGTTGAGGCGTTTTAAACTTTTTTAATCGCAAGGCAGGTAATTGTATGTAACAAAATCATTCAAACTAAAGCGACAGGATTCAAAGACTTCAAGCTATTTGGGTTCGTAAGTGGTATTTTATGAAAATCAGGACAATATTTCTAAAACATGGTTTAACCTTTGCTATATTGAACCTTTATTCGCTTACACTAATGCCGAAAATCCAATGTGACTCTTAAAAAATGTATTTACTAGTTTTTTGAAAAAAATTTATTAATTTATTTTTGAGGGTTACATTGTATTTGTAGCAATTAAGTATGCGTATAAAAGTAGGTAAACTATTTTTGGGTCATCAATAAAATCAATATAACGAAGAAACTTTGTTGAACATAAAGGCAACACCTCAGAATTTTCATTCTGCCAAACATGGATGTGAGATTAGCTGAAAGCTATTGTAAGAGCCACTTTTTTGTGCAACAAAAATAGCTACAGCAGCAATTGTATATAAATCATATAAAATAATTTTTACTATGCAAGCTGAGTAGGCGCACTACTGGTCGGCAAACGTGGAATAAGTACCTCGTATGCTAATATAGCTACTTAAAGTCGCTCATCCCATATTTATATGGCGCAGCCAACCAAAACTGCAGGTGCACTTACATAAACTGCTTCGTAAATTGTGTTTGTCAATATGTATAGAGTTGTAATAATACATCTATATAAATAAAAGTATATAAGCGGTTGCTAGCAGGAAATTAAAGCTTGCATATTGTATTTGCGGCAGCGGTCAGTAACTGCAGCGGTAAAATTGTGCTCCTCCCTGCAAAGTTGAGAATATTTGGTGAAAGCTTACAACCGCTCATACAGAGATATACAAGTACTTGTATGTATGTTTGTGCGCAAGAAACCAATGGGCATGCAGAATATCTTGTCTGGCTAAATCCCTCTCTCTCTATGCCTTTCACGAATTATATGAGTGTGTATGGACCACTGTGTGCTCTGCAAACAATGCAGTTATTATGCCAATAAAGCTGGCGAAGTTTGTCTTACTGAGAAGTTGCTCAAATATGCAAGTCTCTTGACACACGTGCACGTATACATATTGTATATAGATAAGTTGCGCTTAATAAGGAAGTGTCCAGCTCATTGTTGGTTCGTTAAGATTGAATTAAAAATGTATGGTAAGTAAATTAAAATTAACATGACTTCAGACACACTTAAGAGTGAATAATTCCTAATGCAAAACACATCCGCTGCTTGTTCTTCCTTCTTTGCAACGGAGCATCTTTATGCGCTAACTGAGATGAGCTGCGGTAAATACTTACCTCTGCTTCACAAATTGCATTACAATTAAGCTTTTTGTTTTTGTTATTGTAAAAATTTCGTATTCAGTTTACGTTCATCGATCACTTGATTCAAGTTGATTGTGTTAGACGTCGGCACATGTACATAGTGAGTTGTGCTTAATAGACTGGAAGTCTTAAAATGGAGGAGAGATATTAAGGAGGAATGCATATGGAACTAGGGCGGATGTCCTTAGTACAAATAAGTATAACATTCGGAGATGTACTTTAAAGTTATATACCCAAATATAATTGGAGGGTTTACAGCAGCAAAATTTTTGGAAGCAATTAGATATAAGCGAAATCACAAACCCAAGAAAATATTCACTGTCGAGCATGGCAAAAATGAGTTTCCGATCTCAGAGTAGTTCTTTCTTCATAACCAGTATGAACCCGATTTATTTAGCATAATGTTGGCCAATCGGCATCACTCTTAATATGCTTGTTTAAATGAGAATCGCATTTAAACGAAAAAAACCCTATTTCCGATACTTAAGCAGCACTTGCAACAGCATCCGCTCCATTCCGACGTATGTATGTACGAATATTGCCTCTTGTAAAAGTCAACTCGTGAATAACTGATAAATAGGTTAATAGCATTGCAATCTCAATCGAATTAAGAGCATTCAATGAAATCAATACACACGCACCATTTTGTATTGCAATTAACACGAGCAAACAACACAACAAAGAATTTCACTACGCACTGTATTTTTATTCTGTAGCAACCAATTGCAATTCTTTAATTGAGACGACAGATTATCGATGGAAAATTGAAATCGCAAAATAATGGTGATTTCCTATTAATTTTGTTTGCTAAAACGAAAATGTTTATAATTCAGCAGTTAAAACTGGAGAAGCGGCAGATTTTTTCCACAGTTCATCATTGAAAATTTATTATTTAGCTTTTTAACAACAAGCAATGCCTCTTGCAGCTATGTATGTACACAACCCGATTGGTTATTACTATAATGTCTTGCATTGTCATACCACTATGTACATATAAGAATGTGCATACAAAAGTTACTCATACGCAGTGTTTGACACAATTTAACAAATTTGTGTGTATGTTCTTGATAGCTGAGTTTGCTCTTGATTGCTGTGAGTGGTTTATGTAAATAATAGAGTTCTTGTACATTTATGAGCCAAGGTATTGGTAGCATCAAAGAGGGCATTCAACTTCGACTTTACTTATTATATGTAGGCATATGTATGGTTGTGTGTGCATGGAGTATTTGTACGCTTTGTTGAATCGTTACAATAAAGTCAGTAGGACACTCTGAAATATGCATTGCCGTCAGACAAAAGGCAGATGAAAAGGATCTGCAGTATTATAAATGTTTCATGAAGCCGCTGGCAATAGCAATTTTCTAACTGAGTACATATATACATACATAATGATTTTTATATGTATGCATGTAAGCCTTGAAATGAAACGTTGGAAATGCTAAACTACAAAAAATTTAATATAATTTCGATTAAACTCTGCAATTGTACTGCACTTAACGATCTTTGATTTTTTTTCTTTGAAGAAAGCAAATATCTATTTCATGGAGTTGATTGTAGATTACTTAAAAATATACCATACAAATATATATTTTTGGGTTTTTATGACGCTGACATGTAACTTGATTATTTTATCGACGCAGCGCGTTCATTTTTATGATCGATTTCGAAAACTAGTAATGTAATAATTCGATATAATCCAATAAAAACAAGTTGTATAAACACCAAAATGTAAAAATCTACTTACAGTTATGACACTATTTTAGAGCTAGATTCATCACCGATTGGTAAGATTTTCTGGTGCCTGAAATGTGATATATAAATTCAACTAAACTAAATGTTGCAAAGAAAATTGGTCTATTATATTATAAAATAACTTGACATTTATTAACATTAAAAGTTTTCTCTTTCACCGAAGCGTATATACATAAAAAGTTTGGAAAGCCATTTACAATCACAAAAGTCATTTATACATACTTGTATGTATATTGAATTCGAAAACTAAAGTGAATTCGCCTCAATATTTCATAAAAAAAATTTTATATTTAATTTTTAACATTAATCCGCAAATACAAATAGTATACTTACCAACAAAAACATTAAAACGCTACTACTAATAAATTAGTAAAATTTAATTGTTTTGTAATGAAAATATATTATAAACTGTATCAATGCTTACATTTTCTTCTTATTATCAAACAATATATTGCTTAAAATTATCAGTCTGGTAAATAGTAACAAATCGTATAATTAATTTGTAAATTTATTTATTAGTTTAAATAACCTAGGCTTTAGGTTTTATTTATTAGCTACTATTTTCAGACTTTAGATTTTTTCAGAGGCTGCGCCAGTTTCCATATTCGCCAACAGTTGTACTGTTTAGAGCGCATACAGTATTTAGTAAACTGCAGCGGTGGTAGCTTATGTTTATAATGTTATAGGAGCATGCGCATTTCAATGACTGTTGTGAGTTCGAATGTTTCTATAAAGTCGATTTGTAAACAATTTGTTGTTGATTTATGTAGGCCTATCGATCACGGGCTGATTCATTCTTGCCACCGAAGAGCTGATGTCAAAATTGTTTCTGGCGAAATCGACATCTGTTAATGTGTCGGAGCCTTAAGGTGATGACACTGAGTATAACTAATATTACCGTATTCTGAGTGTCACTTTACTAAAAGAGAGCGACTTGATATAATACAACTGTAACAACTCCGTTCAGTGAATATGCGTCTTTTCGGTGGAATAGGCAAATAATCCATAACGATGAGCGAACACTCTCGTCTTTGGCGTTTTGCTCCTGCTCGATTCTTGCTACAAGGCGGAAGAAAGACAAAATAATTTTATTTAAACTCTTGAAAAAAACATTTAGCGGTAGGTCAAATTATATACGTAGTTTGTATATGTGCGTGTGCATAGTGTATTGCAGAAGCCAAGTGCGTATTTATACAACTACTTACACATCTATATACACTATAGTGCAATTTTGTGCATATTCTCAATATGCTAAGTAATTGTGACAGTGTGGCGTCAAATTACGCTTTTTTTGTTTTCTTTGCCTTATATTTGCATTAAACTACTTAATTAACATTTAACAGTAACACTCCTTGGCTTTTTGATTACTTTTATTATTGTATATTTTTTTACGGTTTGCTTTGCTTTTAACTTCGCACTGTCGTATATTTTTATTCTCTGTACGAATAGCGCTCAATGAATTGATTTTGCACCCACACATTATTGTACACGTATACTTATTTTACAGACACATAGCATTGCGTGCATATAACCACAAATGCTACAATTTCATATTATTTGGAACATTTGTATAAATATATATTTTTAGTACCTGAATTTTATATGAGGCTGCCGGCGTTATAATCGCATTTGTAGCAAAGTTTCTATATTTATATTTACATTATATTTGCAATATATTAATGCGTCTGTGTGTGTGTTCTTTTGTTGCCTCAATCAGCGTCTGCCACACACAATCTCTCTTCTCACTACGATCTTAATTATTTATTTACTTCTTTTGCTGCGTTGAATTGAAGCGTTGTTGTTGTTTTCACGTTATGGCTACTATTTCGTGTGTGTGTAGGAACTTACAATATGTATGTAAATAGTTTTGTATAAAGCAGTCTACAGTTAGTTTTTATTTGCATTTGCATTTGTTACTTTTATTTATTTTCCTTCATTCAATTCATTTGGTTGCGCTCATTCAATGCATTCAAATATTTTTTTTATGAATAATAGATTATTAAGTAGTAATTTGCTTGCCACCAAATCATGCGCTTCAATTGCACGGTTTTCGCTTTCACAGTACGTATGTTTATGTGTGTGTTTCGTTGCGATTTTAGTAACATTTTACGCTTCATGAATTTGCATAGAGCTCTTATTTTACCGTTATTATTATTATAACTATTTTTATTACTTTCACTTTGCCTCAATTTTGCATTAATGGCTGGTAATCGGTTGAATACTCACATTTATTTGCCTTCGTTTATGTTTTTTGAGAGCTTCTGTAGAATATGTAGCTTGTTTGTGTTATTGTATTCGTGCTTTAGCTTTGCTTAAGCCTCATAGCCTTGACTTTTACACTTTTGCTTTGCCTTGCCATGGCTGTTAGTGTTGGTTATTGTAATATGCATTTCTTTTGGTAACGGTGTAATCTGCACAAACCCACCAAGCGTACCTTGCGGCAATAGCTTGAAGCGTCCTGGCATTGTTCAAAATCTAAAGCCGTAAAAGAGAAAACGTTATTTTACGAAATATTTTTAAAAAATATATATTTTTGGACAGAATAAAGAAATACGCTTCAGTTAGTACAGTATAAAAAATCTATAGAAAATTATTACATTCAGAATCTGTTTTAAGCTTATATATTTTTTCAAAATGAGAATTTCGGATTTATTGCTTTATGAAATTTTAATAACTGTTTTGATGGCTAGGTGATTTTGAGAGGTAATTAAAGAACTGGATATTTGTTGAAGAAGAGTGAGCGAATATTCCACGAAGAACCATTTGCGGTGTTGAATTTTTTAGTTAATGGTAAAAATTGTATGAAGTATTGACCCTACTAGCCAAAAATACCTTCATCTTAAACAGAATGGTTTGAAGAATAAATAAATATTTCGAGATGGACACTTTCCTTCTTTATTTGATTATTTTTTAATTTTTTATGATTGGTTCGAAGTTGAGAAATGAGAAGAAGATATATCTTCAAATTGCCGCAAAGCTTTTGAGGCAGTTATTCTAGGCTTTGGGTGGCAGATGTAGCATCTTAAAATGCCATCTATATTTACTTTTGTAAGTATCTTTATTGATGCTTAGACAACTAGCAATTCGAACTAAGGTATCTGGCTTCGCTTTGAGTAGACTATCAATAATTTTTTATTAGGCGCAATTCCATATATATCGGTGTATGTTTTTCCATAGTGCCTAGATGCAACATAGGGCTTTGAATAGAGAATTACTGTAGAGTATGAAGATTAGTATCTTGTTCAGACTTGCTACTTGATACTTTATTCTTGCTGAAATTATTGTTTAAAATTTCTCTTACTGATATAAGAAGAATGCAGCAAGACACAACGTGAACACATGAAAGAATAAATAATTTGATAAGGTAATCTAGTAAAATACAATCTGCAATTGCTACTTTATAATAAAATGTACTCAAAGTACTCTACTCACTTTTTGCCAAACCTGGCGGATTCCGCACACTTTCATAGTGTGATTTCTGTCGCATCAGTTTCATACGCAAAGTGACATTTCCCCTCACGCTTCAGGATGGCCGTGTTGAGTCCAAAACAACGTGAACGCTGACACAAAGTCCACTCATCAGCCTAGCAGCGGGTACATTACTCCTCTCCGCACATATCGAATGTGTCAGGAGCGCTTAGTCCATAATCCCCACAGTACGCATTGCCGACCGCCTCGATGTCCGCTTCTACGTGCGACTCCAGTGCATTGTGTATGGGCGTGTAATGGCGCAAACGCAAGCAAGCTATTGAGCGACTCTATGATATGAAAAAATTGTTGTGGAAAATATTATGAAGCCAAATATTTTTGTAAATAAAACTCAACAAAACACAAAGATATGCATAACACTTCATAAAGCTAATGGTTAATTTGCAATACAAACAGTATGGTGGTAACTCATACGCCATGGCGCGTTGTTTGTTTGCAATTCCTTTTATGTATCTTATACGGAAAATTAAACGGGCAAGGGGCATGAGCGATGCAACTCAATTGAACGTAACATTATTGAGGCATGCCTTTCTGTGTCAATCTTGTATAATTGTCGCGTTTTCGAGAAAAATATTTACATAACTGGAAAATCCTCTAAAAATATCTCCATTTCTGAGGATTCTTAGACCTGCTGATGAAATTTGATTTTCTTATCAATTTTATTTAAGTAAAATTTTAAAAAGGTGGCAACCTTTCCTCTTAAAATATTAACATTAATTTTTTTAATATTACTTTTGAAGTTTTTGTTTTAATTCGTGACTTAGAAATTTAAATTTTCCAAATCCTTTTAAAACAGCTATTTTCGGTATTTCTTGTACAAATATTTTAAATTCGAAAGAATTTCAGAATTTTCTATAGTCATTATGTCACCTTTGAGTTGTCTTATCAGTTTTATTTATTTAAAATTATTAATAGGTGGCGACTTAATTTAAAATAATGTTAAATTTACTAATATTTCTCAAAAATTAAAATTTTTTTTAACTTCTTATCACATTTATTTTTGACGCATGATTTTTATTGTTCTATACAGCCGGCAACTTTTCTGACAGTGTTTTAAATTCAAAGTATAAAATTATATTTTTATTTTATTGATCTGTTATTTTAACTTTTAAAACAGGTGGCAACTTTTTAAATTATCTCCACTTTACCACCTTCTATTTATGGTATAAACAGCAGCGCTTTGCCAACACTACTGAAGTCCGCATTACCGCACTTCTCCGAACACTCCGACCAGTCGCCGAAGCGCCATGCGTACGTGACATGGTTACTAGTGGCTACCGTGGCTGACTCCGGCTCGCCCTGCTTCTGCTATTTAGCGTGCGGTGAACGTGGTGAGTCAGCTTCGTGTGTTGCGCCAACAGCTTTGCCAACTGTTGGCAAGCGTGGGTGTTGCATTAGTGACGATGCTTGCATGTTGCAAACGCAACGGACGTTGTAGGGGTCAGCAGATCGCAAGTGTAGATTTGTGGTCGCATCGGCTCAGCCTATTCGAAGTTGTCCAAATCGATGCCGAATTGTAGACCCTTGTCGAACAGCATGTGATGTCCTCTCGAATTGCCAAATTTCTGAAAAGGCCACATATGCTGCGGTAGCGAAAGTGAGAGAGAAAAAAAAAGCGAAAATGCAAATCGGATTAGCAAATTGAGCGGCTTGAAAGTTGCACGATTCCTTTTTTTTTAGTTTTTTATCTTTTGGTGGCAATGTAAGCAGCCTCTGTCCAAAATAGCGGCAAATCGCCACAAACTAAACTGAGTGCAGATACAGCCGTCATGCAAGCGGAAGCAGTTTGTGTATTTTTTGTTAAATTGTAAATATGTCTGTGTTTGAGTATGTGTGTGTGGGTGTATGATTACCGCATGCAATTGTCTACAAGCACATAATAGCTAAACCCTCGCCGACAACTTTTGATCACTAACATGTATGTGTATATGTGTGTATGTGCATGAAAAGCTATAAAGATTCTATGCTAAGTTGTGGTCACCTGCATTGTAGGCAATTAGTTTACATAGCAGACGCTTTGGCCCACTTTCTTTTCTTTCAATCACCCCTTCGTTCCATATTCGCCATTATACGGATACTTCGAGACCTCATCTTGTCACGCTTCAACTTGATATGTGTGTGTGTATATATAAGTTTGTTTATTAAGTGTTCTTTACACTCTGTCTGTTACTAACCGCAATCACTTTTTCATTATACTATGAGTACAACTGCCCTTTCTGTGACTTTTCTTGTTCTTTCAATTTTAAAACTCATATCTTACATTTACCTAACCCTCCTTTCTAAAGTTATTTCCAAAATTCAGCGCACACAAAATGACCTTAAAAAGTCATAAGGCTACTTTTTGGGCATTGTCTAAAAATTTTGGCTATTATTATTTTAAACATATTTATGTACCCAGTAGAACAACTGCTACGAAATATTGATTTCCTTATCTTCAAGTGTCAACAACCGACCCGATGGAAATTCAATAATGAATATGAATGAATTTATGTTACGACATTATATTATAAAAAATCAGAGAACTTCAATTTAATATTTTTCATGAAAAATATACGCAAAGAGAAATATACAAGAGAAATATTTATTCTCTTTATGTTTGCTTATTAACATATCTTATGAAAAATATCCTGATATATATCTTGTTATCATAGCGGCGTAAAATGTTTCACAAACAGGGTTCGTTCATACATTAGCTTAATAAAAAGAACATAACAATGACCCATTCAGAAACTTTGTTTTTGAGGTACGAAAAGATGAATGTATTGTGCTTATTAAATAAATTATGAAACTAATCTCTGATTCTTTCGATTTCGATCTCGTTTATACTCGAAAAAATTCGGTTTGTTTTTCGTCGATTTCGCAGAGTCTATACCGCAAATAGGAGAATCAGCCGATAACCGCATAAAAAGGCAAACCGACTATTCACCAAGCACAAGAGCTCACCACAACTAATGAACTGACATACATATATATGTATTTGTGTGTGTCCCATTTCACTTACAGTTGGTGTGTCAAGACAACACAATGGCATCACTCGTACAAGGCTTGCTGATTTCCCATGAGTACGAGACGTAGCGACAGGCTTAGAGTATGCCGGAATTTGTCGCAATACAAAAAGAACCAATATTACTACGAATACCAGCAAACCAATATAAATTGCATAGGCTCGTTGCTGTTGCCACTTTGCTGCAGTTGAATTGTAAAGCAATTATGCATTTATTGGGCTCGGGAGGGATAACAGAGAATTGGCATTGCTGTTTTCAGACAACCAGTACCTTTTTCAATTTTCAACTACTAGGATAGGCGCTTTCAATTGATCACACCAGCATTACCACCACTGTGTGAGTGAGTGGGCCAATGAGTGTGGCAGTAGTGTCAAACTAAATTACTCATATCGTAAGCCGTGTTTATTTGTACAAGTATGGCCTCATATGCAACATACCCTACAGGAAACTGCTAATGGGTTCACTAATACATTCACATTTATTATGTCAGTACTGACAGTCTTATGAGCAGTAAAATGACTGTCAATGTTTACGATTTTTCCCAAAGCAAATTCTGTATACGTCGAAAAGAGACAGCATACATTTCCACAGAAGTTTGGAGAAGTTGTAAAATATTTATGCAGCTGTTATTTTGTGCGATAAACCAAAACTGTTGCGTGCTCCTGTGCCATAACTTTTTTTGTGTTAAAAAAATAAAAAAAATAACGAAGGAGTTTTCAAATATATATTATATGTAAAGTTATTATGAAGTTAAGTTTAAAATAAAATTATATTTTTAGTTAATTTTCATTTTTTTTTAGGCAGTTTCAAATTCCGAAATATTCATGAACAAGAGAAAAACGTACGGCAGAGCTTTTGGGAAGAGTAAGCATGCAATTAGATACAAATTCCTTTTCATAATTTATTATTGTTCACTTGTGATAGATAATCATAACTGACAAACTGCAGCTATGATAGCGTTTCAGTCATAAATGACAATTTTCAGCTATGATGGATTTATGGTCAGCGATGACTCAGAAAAAGACATGAGAGTGAGCAGTATAGATATATAGTGAATCAATTCCGAATACCCATGTGTTAAAGAGAGATGAAATCTCACACACATACGTCTTACTTTACATCAAGAAAATGATAGAAATTTTGTTCTGCGCGCTTACAAAAAATTTTCAGCTGTGACTGTCATATGACCAGTCAGATGACTATCACTGTTCTTGTAGGGTAAAATATCCCACATACATGTGTCTGTTGGTTACATGAATGGAAACTGTGGAATAAATACATCATTATTTATGCTGTTGCCAACCGACTGAGGCTGCTGTGAAAATTCACTGCAATTGTGTAATGAAAATGAGCAATCACTTTATTAATATTCTCTACCCCAATGGACCGACAAGTGGGTGAGTGCTGGTAATATTTGTGTTTGAGGTAACACAATTTTATGCGTACGCTGCGTCGCAGTAAATTCTTTCATGATTTCATAAAAAGAAGCATTGATGCCTGAATGCTCCTACTGTAGTCCAATTTGTAGTCCTCTACATTAATTCGGGTATAATATATGACACATGACAATCAGCCATAATTTGTAAGTATGCGGACAATTGTTCAAAAACGTCTGAGCTTAAATAACGTTAAAGCGTGCGAAAAGTTTTTTCAGTTATAATTTATATTATACCTTATTGATAACTCGTATACTTTACTCGCTGAAATATTGACATCCCAGAGGAGCTGATGAGTTTCGTGACAGTATAGTTTTTCATGTCCAAAGTATTCTCACAGAAAAGAAATTAACATTTTAGTACTAAAACCGACAACTAATTAGATCTTATAGTTTTGGCGCCGACTCATTTTTGAAACTACAAGAGAGCGAGTGACAGCAAGTGAAAAACTGCAATATGGATAAACCAGCAAAACACTCTATAGAACTACAAAGTCAACCGCTCTATTTCGTATGAATACAGTAAATATTTACTTTAAAAATTCTGATATATAATTTCAAAATATTTTATATTAACTATAATCCCCATAGCAAACGTGCCGAAATTAATTATTGTTGAAAATTGAATTGTGCAACTTTGAGAATTATACAAAATTAAATTACACTTGGCGTTGGAAAATACCGCCGTGACGTTGAGTTGTGTACTTATACTAGTTGTGTACTGCTTATACCACACACACTCATAAATGCAGAGGCGCACGTAAATATATACATATATAATATGTACGAGGTGTGTTCAAAGGAAACGGGGAGTTTTGATTTTTTCGCG